CTACAGCCGGAAATCGGTATTTAATTAAACCAATCACGCTTTTGCAAAACTATTTGAATATTGTAAAAATGACATTGAAACAACACAAAGTTATTTAAATACGGGTATTTAAATACGGGTTTAAATTTGACAGATTTGTAGGGAATATTAGTTATAATTAGTAATGTTCGGAACCCTTGAAATTGGTTCAGAACCCTTAATTGGTTCAAAACTTCTTCTAATTTGTTATAAACATTATTACCCAGGTAGTAATTATTACCCAGGTAGTAACAATCGCATCGTTATATCGCATCGTTATAAACAAGTTTACCGTTCACAAAATGTATAAAAGCCTGTGCAAAATCTATATTGACAACCAGCGGTGGACTGTAATATCTTTTCATGGATAGTTTATGGAATGGATTATACGTCGGATGTCGGGAAAGCAAAAGCAAAGTAAGTTCTGACGAAAATGATTTATGAAAAGTATTGCAAAAATATATGGGCAACTGTAATCGAAAAAAAATGAGGTATCTGCTTTTCTCCGAATGTATCATGGTGGGGCTGTTTCGAGAAATCGACGTTCCAAATGTATACCTGAAAAATCACACTATTTTTCAGTCAAATTCATTCAGTTTAGAGATTTTTTCATGTATTTCCGTGGTAAAATTATCGTTATATGCGCGTGGAAACTATAATGAGCAATATCATTTGACAACATATTTTTGGATTCATTTGAAATTGAAAAGAAATGATAAAATCTGGCAACCGCAAGCACAAAATACTAAAATCAGGCACATGACTGAATTTGAAAACAAGAAGAACTGTCTGTCACTCACTGGTAGGAATGTGGCAAATTTAACAAGTGCCTGATTTTTCGGTTTTGTCAATGGTAGTTGCCATATATCTCTTATAATGTTGTTTTTTTCCTATTGCATCATTTTATACAAGTCAATGTTTTGTATGAGAGCTCCACTTAGCATAAATGAAATTACACTTTTAACATCAGTATTTAAACCAATCACGCTTTTGCAAAACTATTTGAATATTGTAAAGTGTAAATGACATTGTGTATGACATATGTATTATTTAAATACGGGTTTAAATTTGACAGATTTGTAGGGAATATTAGTTATTCAGACGATATCTTTACTGTAATGTTCGGAACCCTTGAAATTGGTTCAAAACTTCTTCTAATTTGTTATAAACATTTCGACATATTATACGCATCGTTATAAACAACCTAATTTGACTTTTGGCAATATTAGTACGAAATTCCAGTTTTAACAGAAACAATTGACTTATAATCGTATATCCAAGTCACATTAATGTATAATAAAAAATATTGACAACCAGCGGTGTTCAACCACGGCTACAATAAAGATATTCAATCACTTGCTCTTGCTGTTGTATAATATTCTTTACAACCTGAAGATCTGACTGTAATATCTTTTCATGGATAGTTTATGGAATGGATTTCATAATAAACACAGACTTACCGAATACTCTCTCATGTATCATGATACCAATGCTGCGTTTGCAAGCGTTGGTATTGTATGTGTGCTCCCGGCCTGCTCCCGTACATTTCGCACTTTAACAGACACTCCAATTATTATTTTCCAGAAAGCAAAATTCATGCATCGGAATGTCAGAGTATATGAGCGGCGACGATGCAGTGCGACAAATTGAAATTAGCGATAAGAATAGCACTCAATATACGTCGGATTGTCTTAAAAAACATTTTACCGGGAAAGCCATTTTACCGGGAAAGCAAAGTTATGTAAAAAATTCCAGTGCAACTGTTATCGAAAAAAATGAAAAATCAGGCACTTGCGAAATTTGACCCCTCATCACCAGTCCCAATCGTAGTCCATAACCACATAAAAGATTAATTGTAGAGGAAGTCCGATTTTGGTCAGGCAAAAAACATTACAGGAATGAATACGAATTGTATATATAGTATGTGTTGTATTATTGAATTTCCGGGAACCATTTCCGGGAACCTCTTATATTCAATTTCGCACCAGGATTCATGCGTTTCATTATGTTCGTTCACCAGGATTCATGCGTTTGTTTCATTATGTTCGTTTTCACACAAAACTGAAGAATTTATTTAGTTACCAGATGTGCGCTACGAAACTCATTTTCTGGGCGTTTTCATGGTTTCGTCTCACGGCCCATATCCGTGGACCAATAATATAAACAGGGCGGGCTACTATGGAGAAAGCCTGCCCAACTCAGCGCAAGGTTAATAATGTTACGTCATGTAAAATCATTTTCGAAACTCACTTTCTAGGAGTTTTTCAGGGCCTCGGCTCGCGGCTTATGTTTTTGTTTTGGTTTATTTAAATGTTGGTTTACTTCCTCGTGGTCTCCTCGTAAATGCAATAATAAAACCTTTTTTTTTCAATTACATCTACGGCTACGGCTAAATGCAAATTAAATGTTCGTCATACTTGGATTTGACATTGTTGTAAACTGCTTGTCTGACTCTGGTCGGACGATACGTTACAGAAATACACCTAGAAAATCGCACAATTTCAAAAAATTCTAGGAAAAAACAGTCGGATCATTTCAATACTCGAATAAATCCTGGACGATTAGTCTCTACTTCACAGAAGTTTTTATAGTTCATTCATTATAATATGTCAAAAATGGGTCTTGGTTGGTTCATCCATCATGGTTAGCGCTTCTGATAGTTAAAAAAAAAATAGGTATATGGCTAAGTGTGGGTCGTCGCCGAGTGCCCATCGTTGTATTTATTTTGACTCTCTCTCTCGGCACAAGCACTCAAGAGCAATACGATCAATCAATTAGGACATCTCTTAGTCACAAATAATAAAAAATATTGATTGCTAATAATTGTGTGTGTGGTGCCTGATCAACACATTTTACTATTGAAAAATTATTTATATTTAGATCTAGGGCGCCTGCCTACCAGTGCCGCCACTTTTGGTTATATTTTGTGTACGAGCAGAAAACTGAGATATAGATATTTATTTATATACGATAATGTAAAATCATGAACTCATGATGATGATCATCAATTTCGAGTTTCTCACATTTAAATGCCATATTAATTAATATTATTGTGTATGTATGTGACAAACAATAGTAAAAAAAAGTGTGTTTTGTCAAGTCTTCGTTCGTGTCCAAACAAGAGAGAGAGAGAGAAGGCCCATTCATTCATACCTGCCGCGGTTCCATCATGCTCTTAATATTTATTTCAAAAGCTATTGCTACAATATATATGAATTCCACGGTTGTCTGTTTCATGGTCATAATTGTCATATTGGTTGTAGTGAAACTTTCCCAGGTAAAAACTATGAAGAATTACAACGAAACACTGCTATCTATCTATGAACACGCGTTAGTGAGTGGGATGAAACTGTTAAAATAGAACCGGTGAAATCCTTTCTTAAATCAAGGCGACCGAATTTATTATATAATGGTCTCGTGAGAGATATATGTATCAAACAAACACTGTCGAATTGTGCCCTGTAGAGAGAGAGCATGCATGTCCCACTGAACTCGCTAACGAAAGGCTAACTAAATAAACTAAAAAAAAGAAAAAACTGGAACGGTGAAATTTTTACTTTGAACTTTTTTTTTTTTTACAAAACCAGAACCTCCACCCCCATAACTTGCGCCCGTCAATTTCACCCCATAACTTGCGCCCGTCAATTTCACCCCATAACTTGCGCCCGTAACTCACCGAAGGTGAAACTACCGCGAAAAGGATTGCATATCAGTGTGATAACCGATTATATTCATATGTACACTGCGTTTCCGATAAGAACAAGGGGGGGGGGGGGGGGCACAGTTGTTGTTTTCTAATCTTTTTTGATCTAGAGGCGACCAAAAGATGCTAATCAATAAGATTATCAGAAAAACCTTGAAAAATAAATTTGAGAAAATTAAATACAAACATGTTGAGAAAATTAAATACAAACATGTTGAGTAAAAATAATCATATTGATGATATAACTGGATTAAAAAATATGTATAAAAACGTGTATATCTAACTGAATTTGAAGAAGATTGAAAAATTATTTTCCTGATATTAATTTTTTTAAGAGATTGGCATTAGTTTATACCATTTATCATGCTATGGGGAATAGGGAGACATTGATGCCTTAAAAAGTGGATTCTAAAATTTTCCTCATTGAAGAAATATATTTGAGAGACTTAATATTAAAATATTCATATCCAAACATGTTCAGTAAAAATAATCATATTGATGGCATAATTGGATTAATAAATATGTATAAAAAATATGTATATTTAGCTAAATTTGAAGAAGATTAAAAAATTTTCATGATATTAAGTTAATTCCAAATAAATTGAAGCCCTTTTTAAGAGATTGGCATTAGTTTTTAAAATGACTCTCCATTTATCATGCTATGGGGAATAGGGAGACATTGATGCCTTAAAAAGTGGATTCTAAAATTTTCCTCATATTTTTTGATCTAGTGGCGACCAAAAGATACTAATCAATATGATTATCACAAATAACTTGAAGAAATAGATTTGAGAAAGTTTGAGAAAAATATGACTTAATATTAAAATATTCAATATACAGACAAATAAATTCAAACATGTTCAGTAAAAATAATCATAATCATAAATATGTATAAAAACGTGTTTATCTAGCTAAATTTGAAGAAGATTGAAAAATTATTTTCATGATATTATGTTAATTCCAAATAAATTGAAGCCCTTTTTAAGAGATTGACATCAGTTTTTAAAATGACTACCCATTTATCATGCTATGGGGAATAGGGAGACATTGTCTATCTTTTTTGATCTAGTGGCGACCAAAAGATACTAATCAATAAGATTATCACAAATAACTTGAAAAATAAATTTGCGGAAGTTTGAGAAAAATATGACTTACCGTTAATATCAAAATATTCAATATACATATTTATTAATCCAATTATGCCACCAATATATGTATATTTAGCTTTATTAGTTAATTCCAAATAAATTGAAGCCCTTTTTAAGAGCAGTTTTTAAAATGACTATCCATTTATCAAGCTATGTTAAATAGGGAGACATTGATGCCTTAAAAGGTGAATTTTAAAAATTTACTCATCTTTTTTGATCTAGTGGCGACCAAAAGATACCAATCAATAAGATTATCAGAAATACCTTGAAAAATATGAGTTACCGTTAATATCAAAATATTCAATATACAGACAAATAACTTCAAACATGTTAAGTAAAAATAATAATAATCATGTATCAAAACGTGTATATCTAGCTGAATTTGAAGAAGATTGAAAAATTATTTTCCTGTAATTAATTCAATTCCAAATAAATTGTAGCCCTTTTTAAGAGATTGACATCAGTTTTTAAAATGACTACCCATTTATCATGCTATGGGGAATAGGGAGACATTGTCTATCTTTTTTGATCTAGTGGCGACCAAAAGATACTAATCAATAAGATTATCACAAATAACTTGAAAAATAAGGAAGTTTGAGAAAAATATGACTTACCGTTAATATCAAAATATTCAATATACAGACAAATATATCCAAACATGTTCAGTAAAAATAATCATATTGATGGCATAATTGGATTAATAAATATGTATGAAGAAGATTAAAAAATTATTTTCATGATATTAAGTTAATTCCAAATATATTGAAGCCCTTTTTAAGAGATTGGCATTAGTTTTTAAAATGACTCTCCATTTATCATGCTATGGGGAATAGGGAGACAGACATTGATGCCTTAAAAAGTGGATTCTAAAATTTTCCTCATATTTTTTGATCTAGTGGCGACCAAAAGATACTAATCAATATGATTATCACAAATAACTTGAAGAAATAGATTTGAGAAAGTTTGAGAAAATATGACTTAATATAAAATATTCAATATAACAGACAATAAATTCAAACATGTTCAGTAAAAATAATCATAATCATATCGATGGCATAATTGGATAAATAAATATGTTCAGTAAAAATAATCATAATCATATCGATGGCATAATTGGATAAATAAATATGTATAAAAACGTGTTTTATCTAGCTAAATTTGAAGAAGATTGAAAAATTATTTTCATGATATTATGTTAATTCCCAAATAAATTGAAGCCCTTTTTTAAGAGAATTTGGCAATCAGTTTTTAAATGACTACCCATTTATCATGCTATGGGGAATAGGGAGACATTGATGCCTTATTATAATGTGGGATTCTAAAATTTTTCCTATCTTTTTTGATCTAGTGGCGACCAAAAGATACTAATCAATAAGATTATCAACAAATAACTTGAAAAATAAATTTGCGGAAGTTGAGAAAATATGACTTACCGTTAATATCAAAATATTCATATACAGACAAAATATATTCAAACATGTTCAGTAAAAATATCATATTGATGGCATAATTGGATTAATAATATGTATAAAAATATGTATATTTAGCTAAAATTTGAAGAAGATTAAAAAATTATTAGTTAATTCCAAATTAAATTGAAGCCCTTTTAAGAGATTGGCCATCAGTTTTTAAAAATGACTATCCATTTATCAAGCTTATGTTAAAATAGGGAGACATTGGTGCCTTAAAAGGTGAATTTTAAAAATTTACTCATCTTTTTTGATCTAGTGGCGACCAAAAGATACCAATCAATAAGATTATCAGAAATACCTTGAAAAATAAATTTGTGACGTTTGAGAAAAATTAGTTTACCGTTAATATCAAAGTATTCAATATACAGACAAATATTACAAACATGTTAAGGAGAAAATAATAATATCCATGATCGATGGCATAAGTTGGATTTAATAGATATGTATCAAAAACGTGTATATCTAGCTGAAATTGAAGAAGTTTGAAAAATTATTTTCCTGTAATGTAATTCAATTCCAAATAAATTTGGCATCTAGTTTTTAAAAATGACCTATCCCATTTTCAAGCTATGTGAATAGTGAGACCTTGATGCCTTAAAAGGTGGATTCTAAAAATTTACTCATCTTTTTTGATCTAGTGGCGACCAAAAGATACTAATCAATAAGATTATCAGAAATACCTTGAAAAATAAATTTGTGACGTTTGAGAAAAATATGAGTTACCTTTAATATCAAAATATTCAATATACAGACAAATAAATTCAAACATGTTAAGTAAAAATAATAATAATCATATCGATGGCATAATTGGATTAATAGATATGTATCAAAACGTGTATATCTAGCTGAATTTGAAGAAGATTGAAAAATTATTTTCCTGTAATTAATTCAATTCCAAATAAATTGAAGCCCTTTTTAAGAGATTGGCATCAGTTTTTAAAATGACTACCCATTTATCATGCTATGGGAAATAGGGAGACATTGATGCCCTAAAAAGTGGATTCTAAAATTTTCCTCATATTTTTTGATCTAGTGGTGACCAAAAGATACTAATCAATACGATTACCACAAATAACTTGAAGAAATAGAAATTGCGAAAGTTTGAGTGAGAAAAATATGACTTACCGGTAATGTCAAAATATTCAATATACAGACAAATAAATTCATCATATTCATATCGATGGCATAATTGGATTAATGAATATGTATAAAAATGTGTATATTTAGCTAAATTTGAAGAAGATTAAAAATTATTTTAATGATATTAAGTTAATTCCGAATAATTTGAAGCCCTTTTTACGAGATTCGCATAAATTTTTAAAATGACTACCCATTCATCATGCTATGGGAAATAGAGAAACATTGATGCCTTAAAAAGTGGATTCTAAAATTTTCCATCTTTTTTGATCGAGTGGCGACCAAAAGATACTAATCAATGTGATTATCACAAATAACGTGAAAACAAATTGGGAGAGTTTGAGAAAAATATGACTCCATAACAAAATGTTCAATATACGGACAAATAAATTCAAACATGTTAAGTAAAAATAATCATAACTATATCGATGACATAATTGAATTAATCAATCAATATGTATAAAAATGTGGATATTTAGCTAACTTTGAAGAAGATTAAAAAATTATTTTCATGATATTAAGTTAATTCCAAATAAATTGAAGCCCTTTTTAAGAGACTGGCATCAGTTTTTGAAATGACTATCCATTTATCATGCTATGGGAAATAGGGAGACATTGATGCATTAAAACATGGATTCTAAAATTTTCCTCATATTTTTTGATTTAGTGGCGAACTAAAGATACTAATCAATATGATTATCACAAATAACTTAAATTGAGAAAAATATGACTTAATATCAAAATATTCAATATACAGACAAATAAATTCAATAATGTTCAGTAAAAATAATTATAATCATATCGATAGCATAATTGGATCAATAAATATGTATAAAAACGTGTATTTCTAGCTAAATTTGAAAAAGATTATAAAATTAGTTTCATGATATTAAGTTAAATCCAAATAGATTGAAGCCCTTTTTAAGAGATTTGCATCAATTTTTAAAATATGGGAAATTGATGCCTTAAAAAGTGGATTCTAAAATTTTCATATCTTTTTTGAACTAGTGGCGACCGAAAGATATTGCTAAAGTTTCAGTAAAATATGACTTAATATCAAAATATTCAATATACAGAAAAATAAATTCAAACATGTTCAGTAAAAATATTCATAATTATATCGATAGCATAATTGGATCAATAAATATGTATAAAAACGTGTTTTCTAGCTAAATTTGAAAAAAGATTATTTAGTTTCATGATATTAAGTTAAATCCAAATAGATTGAAGCCCGTTTTAAGAGATTGGCATCAATTTTTAAAATGAATATCCATTTGTCATGGGGAATAGGGAGACATTGATGCCTTAAAAAGTGGATTCTAAAATTTTCCTATCTTTTTTGATCTAGTCGCGACCAAAAGATACTAATCGATACGATTACCACAAATAACTTGAAGAAATAGATTTGCGAAAGTTTGAGAAAAATATGATTTAAGATTAAAATATTTAATATACAGACAAATAAATTCAAACATGTTGAGTAAAAATAATCATATTCCATATCGATGACATAATTGGATTAATAAATATGTATAAAATGTGTATATCTAGCTAAATTTGAAGAAGATTAAAAAATTATTTTCATGATATTAAGTTATATCCAAATAAATTGAAGCCCTTTTTAAGAGATTGGCATCAGTTATTAAAATGACTACCCATTTATCATGTTATGGGGAATAGGGAGACATTGATGCCTTAAAAAGTGGATTCTAAAATTTTCCTATCTTTTTTGATCTAGTGGCGACCAAAAGATACTAATCAATATGATTATCACAAATAACATGAAAACAAATTGGGAAAGTTTGAGAAAAATATGACTCCATAACAAAATGTTCAATATACGGACAAATAAATTCAAACATGTTAAGTAAAAATAATCATAACTATATCGATGATATAATTGAATTAATCAATCAATATGTATAAAAATGTGTATATTTAGCTAACTTTGAAGAAGATTAAAAAATTATTTTCATGATATTAAGTTAATTCCAAATAAATTGAAGCCCATTTTAAGAGACTGGCATCAGTTTTTGAAATGACTATCCATTTATCATGCTATGGGAAATAGGGAGACATTGATGCATTAAAACATGGATTCTAAAGTTTTCCTCATATTTTTTGATTTAGTGGCGACCTAAAGATACTAATCAATATGATTATCACAAATAACTTAAAAAATAAATTTGCAAAAATTTGAGAAAAATATGACTTAATATCAATATATTCAATATACAGACAAATAAATTCGAACATGTTCAGTAAAAATAATTATAATCATTCCGATAGCATAATTGGATCAATAAATATGTATAAAAATGTGTATATTTAGCTAACTTTGAAGAAGATTAAAAAATTATTTTCATGATATTAAGTTTATTCCAAATAAATTGAAGCCCTTTTTAAGAGATTAACATCAGTTTTTAAAATGACTATCCATTTATCATTCTATGGGAAATAGAGAGACATTGATGTTTCCTTATCTTTTTTGAACTAGTGGCGACCGAAAGATATTGCTAAAGTTTCAGTAAAATATGACTTAATATCAAAATATTCAATATACAGACAAATAAATTCGAAGATGCTAAGTGAAAATAATCATAATCATATCGATGGCATAATTGGATTAATAAATATGTATAAAAATGTGTATATTTAGCTAACTTTGAAGAAGATTAAAAAATAATTTTCATGATATTAAGTTTATTCCAAATAAATTGAAGCCCTTTTTAAGAGATTAACATCAGTTTTTAAAATGACTATCCATTTATCATTCTATGGGAAATAGAGAGACATTGATGTTTCCTTATCTTTTTTGAACTAGTGGCGACCGAAAGATATTGCTAAAGTTTCAGTAAAATATGACTTAATATCAAAATATTCAATATACAGACAAATAAATTCAAAGATGCTAAGTGAAAATAATCATAATCATATCGATGGCATAATTGGATTAATAAATATGTATAAAAACGTGTTTATGAAGCTGAATTTGAAAAAGATTAAAAAATTATTTTCATGATATTAGGTTAATTCCAAATAAATTGAAGCCCTTAAGAGATTGGCATCAGTTTTTAAAATGACTATCCATTTATCATTCTATGGGGAATGGGGAAACATTGATCCATAAAAAAGTGGATTCTAAAATTTTCGCCATCTTTTTTGAACTAGTGGCGACCAAAAGATACTAATCAATATGATTATCACAAATAACTTGAAAAAAAATTTGCAAAAGTTGAGAAAAATATGACTTAATATCAAAATATTCAATTTACAGACAAATAAATTCAAACATGTTAAGTAAAAATAATCATAATCATATCGATGATATAATTGGATAAATATGTATAAAAACATGTAAATCAAGCTAAATTTGAAGAAGATTGAAAAATTATTTTCATGATATTAAGTTAATTCAAATAAATTGAAGCCCTTTTTAAGAGATTGGCATCAGTTTTTTTAAATGACTATCCATTATCATCTATGGGAAATAGGGAGATATTGATGCCTTAAAAAGTGGATTCTAAAATTTTTTCTCATCTTTTTTGATCTAGTGGACCAAAGATATTATCAAAGTGATTATCACAAACAACTTGGAAAAAAATTTGCAAAAGTTTCAAAAATATGACTTAATATCAAAATATTCAATATACAGACAATAAATTAAAACATGTTCAGTAAAAATATTCATAATTATATCGATGGCATAGCATAATTGGATCAATAAATATGTATAAAAACGTGTATTTCTAGCTAAATTTGAAGAAGATTAAAAATTATTTTCATGATATTAAGTTAATTCCAAATAAATTGAAGCCCTTTTTAAGAGATTGGCATCAGTTTTTAAAATGACTATCCATTTATCATGCTATGGGAAATAGGGAGACATTGATGCCTTAAAAAGTGGATTCTAAAATTTTCCTCATATTTTTTGATCTAGTGGCGACCAAAAGATACTAATCAATATGATTATCACAAATAACTTAAAAAATTTGCAAAAGTTTGAAAAATATGACTTAATATCAAAATATTCAATATACAGACAAATAAATTCAAACATGTTCAGTAAAAATAATCATATCGATGGCATAATTGGATTAATAAATATGTATAAAAACGTGTATATCTAGCTAAATTTGAAGAAGATTAAAAATTATTTTCATGATATTAAGTTTTCCAAATAAATTGAAGCCCTTTTTAAGAGATTGGCATCAGTTTTTAAAATGACTATCCATTTATCATGCTATGGGAATAGGGAGACATTGATGCCTTAAAAAGTGGATTCTAAAATTTTCCTATCTTTTTTGATCTAGTGGCGACCAAAAGATACTAATCAATATGATTATCACAAATAACTTGAAAAATTTGGGAAGTTTGAGAAAAATATGACTTCCATATCAAAATTTCAATATACAGACAAATAAATTCAAACATGTTCAGTAAAAATAATCATAATCATATCGATGCATAATTGGATTTAATAATATGTATAAAAATATGTATATTTAGCTAAATTTGAAGAAGATTAAAAAATTATTTTCATGATATTAAGTTAATTCCAAATAAATTGAAGCCCTTTTTAAGAGATTGGCATCAGTTTTTAAAATGACTATCCATTTATCATGCTATGGAAATAGGGAGACATTGATGCCTTAAAAATGGATTCTAAAATTTTTCTCATATTTTTTGATCTAGTGGCGACCAAAAGATACTAATCAATATATTCACTATAACATAAAAAATAAATTTGAAAAGTTTGAGAAAAATATGACTTAATATCAAAATATTCAATATACAGACAAATAAATTCAAACATGTTCAGTAAAAATAATATAATCATTCGATAGCATAATTGGATAATAAATATGTATAAAAACGTGTATTCTAGCTAAATTTGAAAAAGATTATAAAATTATTTTCATGATATTAAGTTAATTCCAAATAAATTGAAGCCCTTTTTAAGAGATTGGCATCAATTTTTAAAATGAATATCCATTTGTCATGCTATGGGAAATAAGGGGACATTGATGCCTTAAAAAGTGGATTCTAAAATTCTCCTCATCTTTTGGATTTCTAGTGGCGACCAAAAGATACTAATCAATGTGATTATCACAAACAACTTGGAAAAAAATTTGCTAAAGTTTCAGTAAAATATGACTTAATATCAAAATATTCAATATACAGACAAATAAATTCAAAGATGTTAAGTAAAATAATCATAATCATATCGATGGCATAATTGGATTAATAAATATGTATAAAAACGTGTTTATGAAGCTGAATTTGAAAAAGATTAAAAAATTATTTTCATGATATTAAGTTAATTCCAAATAAATTGAAGCCCTTTTTAAGAGATTGGCATCAGTTTTTAAAATGACTATCCATTTATCATTCTATGGGAAATGGGGAAACATTGATGCAATAAAAAGTGGATTCTAAAATTTTCCTCATCTTTTTTGAACTAGTGGCGACCAAAAGATATTAATCAATATGATTATCACAAATAACTTGAAAAAAAATTTGCAAAAGTTGGAGAAAAATATGACTTAATATCAAAATATTCAATTTACAGACAAATAAATTCAAACATGTTAAGTAAAAATAATCATAATCATATCGATGACATAATTGGATAAATATGTATAAAAACATGTAAATCAAGCTAAATTTGAAGAAGATTGAAAAATCATTTTCATGATATTAAGCTAATATAAAAAATAAATTGAAGCCATTTTTAAGAGATTGGCATCAATTATTAAAATGACTATCCATTTAAAATTCTATGGAAAATAAGGAGTGGTTGATGCCTTAAAGATTTTTCTGGGTCAGCATAAAATATATATATCTACCTGCTTCCTGATATGGTTAAAGTAAAACAAAACGTGTGACATTTACAAACAATTATATGTCAATTATGTCAGCATAAAATGTGTAAGTTATTTAAGACACAAACAGCCTTTTGTGTTCAATGTAACAGAAGGATTTGTAGTAATAACTGATTTCGTTACAGACATAATTCAATACAAACTAATACAAAGCTTAAAAATTCTGGACTACCCAACCATTTGCTCCAAATTGGTCTTTTCTTTCGTCCCTGGTCTTTGCAAAATGATAATCTCATCCTGTACCCTTGTACCCTGTTTAAAATAATGTGAGAGTTATACATAGCATTAGACTTTTTGAGTAGTAGACAAGGTAAATACCATTTTGGCAATTATAACATACTAACATTGTTATTCCTCAGTCAAGTTCACAATATATAACAATCGCCCCATGTATTTTTTCAGCAACGTAATCCTCAATGCGATTTTAGTGTCAATTACCGTATGTAGATGTCTATCTAATCATGAATGTGACCCTCCCCCCAAACCCTCAAGTTATGTTTGTATCAACGTTTTTTCAAATTTGAGAGATTATTTAGATTGCCTTTGCAACAACAGCATGTATTCGAAGGGAGAGATTACCAAACCATATCAACTGGTTTGTCCAGAAATTTATTTGCAAAGGCAGTTATAACAAAGAATGCCTATGTAGATAATACAAATGTATTTGTAAAGTGTGTCAGATGAATAATTGGAATTTGGAAATTCCATCAATGCTACTAATCGACTATAAAAAAATTTTCAAGAAGGTCAGAAGGTATCACACATTTCCTATGAACAAGGCACTGAAAGATAGCTTGTAAGACTATGTTTAATAAGTTTTATTAGTCCAGAACATATCTTTAAAAGTTTTTCCTGCTATTTGTAAAATTTGGGGGAGTGGAATTATCATTAAAATTTCACCTCATTATAAATTATTTAATATAATTGAGCAATTCATATTGAATATGAACAAATCATATTTCTTGAGAGAAGGTATATATGAGACAAACTAAATAGAAATAAAATTAAGACGAATTATGAAAAATAATGAATTGCACAAAAAACATTTATATATTCAAACATACCTTTCATCTTTGAGTTTGTTGGAATCTTATGTTGAGAACTGTAAAGTTGAAAAGAAAATATTCATACATATTTCTGAAATATGGTGAGTGGTTCGGACATTTCAAATAAAATATCCGAATCGTCGTCATCTTGGTTTATTGTCCGCCTCAGATCAAGATGAATCCCTACTTTTTTATTCATATCAAACTTTTAATATGCAATTATAACATATGATTCTTTTATTGTGTGAGTGCGTTATTGGTGAAATATGTTTTTGACTGTGTGTTGATGCTTAGAAAACTGTTCGAGTGATAGATTACATGTTTTCACTAATTCATGTTTCTGGAGGGTCCATTACAATAAAACAGTCGATACAACTAACTACATATCTTCCAAGTATTCAAGATTTGATTAGATTCGAAATAAATATTGGATTTGGTTCTTAAATCATCAGGTGTTCAAAAATGCTATATTATATACATGCATGTAAAGCAGTTTTTAGAACGATCTGTCTTGTGGCCTCGTTTATCTTTTGACTTAGTGGTATTATAGTGTATTTTGATAAGTAGATTTCAAATCCAACTATGTTTGAACAATTCATGCTCAACATGATGAAAACACGCAATGAAATACCTTTATCAATCAATAAATGGGGAGGTTTATTGTCAGGGGAAAAGTAAAATCAGTTTTGTATCTAGCATTGCGGACCCCCTCTGGAAATGGGCCGCCGGTCCAAACTAGCATCTGCTTTAAATGCAATTTAGAAAACAAACCTAAAGACTTTGTCTGATGCTTGAGTGAAGCCACAATGCTCTGGTTTGTATTCATGTGATTTGATTGATAGAAACGAGCTGAGCTGAAAACTAAGAGATAAAAATAAGATTTCACCTTTGAATAAATTCAGATATATAATATAGACTTTTGTATACATACATTATTTACAGTTGAAAGTAAGAAATTCAGCTATGGATCGTCTTTAATAAAAGAACATATCGAAAAAAACTATACTTTTGGATTTTCTAATAAATATTTATGTATAGAATAATTCTGGAAAAAGTCAATCTGGAATTTCACTTAAGAATGGCATATATAGGATGGAGTTTCATGTTTCAGTCAAAAAGTTGGAGTGCAGCATTCATGGCTTTAATGAAATTATTATCTTATTGCAGATGTTCACAAAATACCTAAAAAACAAATAATCGATTTCTTTGTAGCCCAAGATATATACGGTAGGCGCTGATAGATACCTATGAGATATGACTTGGGAGAATTTGCGAAAGCTATATGAAGATTTTTGCATTTTATTAAATAATCAGGTCATCCGAATGGCAACGATCAGCTGTTATAAAAAAATTAGCTATGGAAAATCACACACATTCTTCGTAACCACTTCAGCATTAGAAGAATTTTAAAAAGGGGTGGTTTGATGGATGAGCTATGACAGGGTGGTTCAAACCCAGGCCAGCGGGCCACATGTGGCCCGACGCTCCATTATCTATGGCCCGCGTCGCATTTGCGCGAGGGTAAACAAAAAATCGCATTTGGTGTTGTTTCGTAATACAAATAACTAGCAAAATCTTTTGAGATATTGTTACATCACTAATGAATGTCACTGAATTGACTAGTGTTAATAAGGCTAGCTGAGGCAACTAGCAAAGTTGAATAATGTGTTTGGCTAGCCTAAATTGTTAACCGGTTTTCCTTTTTTGGGCGGGAATATATGCTAACAAAATAGGCTCAATAGAAAACTAAAAATCGAATGAGTTTTTTTGCAACCAGCCTAATCAGTAAAATATGCTGCCTATATGTCAGAAAATTAAGTAATTAGTCCAGGGATGACCAATATCGAATAGTTCACTATTTCACAGAAAAATAAAAATAGACCTTACATATATGACATCATAATCTCAATACCTTATATGATTTTAAACAATGTTTGATTTATATAATATCACAGAATGAGAGTTAAGCTCTGCAATTTGATTGATTTGATTCCTGATTTGAAACTCTTTTCTTCGGTCAATGATTATAAAATAAATGGATTCGAAGTTTTTTTTGTAACGTTTCAATTGAAAGCATCATACCGGTAGTATATTATCCATTTTAGATTCATATTATTGGTTGTATGATGAGATAAAAGGTCTGTAGATAAAGTAATTAGTTGCCCAACCCAGATGAGCAGGAGGTATTGAAAGAAATTAGTAAATTTGAAACACATTTTGAACAGGCTGTTTGAAGATTAGCACAGTGGTTCCCAAACTTTTTAGAGTTGGGACCCACTATTTATTACTACAGCCAGTGGCGCAGCCAGGGGGGGGGGGGGACGGTCGGGGTCGAACCCGTCGGTTTTTATTCTTTCTAAATCATAAATTTGTGCCACGATAAACATGATAATTATTTTATTTTTGTACTTTGCAAGGAATTGTGAATTCGTGAGTTATTATACGTTCATCGGTGGCGAGGTTCTAAAGACAAAAGGAGTAAAACCGCGATCTAAATTTGATTGAAAAGCGGCATTATAAAATACTGAAAATGAAACCGTAAACAATATCAGTTTTGTTGAGTCCCGCGACAGTCTAAAAACGCTTTTCTAGTCGCAAATCGCAAAATTTCGTGTGCCTACAGCGCACATTATGTTTGGTCGCCGTTTAGGAACATACCGTCACTAAAATCGAAACACGGTTAATTGTGGGTGGGATTTGCCTTTTATCCAGTACTTTAAAATTGTCGTAGAAGATTTTCGTGTTATCATTAAACAAGGTTGAAAACACGATTTTTCCCCGGTTTGTGATGATATATAAGATAATTAATCCGAAGTATATCCATCAATTTTTATTGTACTGAAATAAATTTTACTCCATGAGAATTTACAGCAGATTTAGGGATTTTCAGAGGTTTTATCTTTAAAAATAATCGGCAAGTGTCAGCATTGCGATTGAACGGAGTCAATGTTACAAGCACATCTCAAATTTGTCGAATTTGCAAAATAGAAAAATACGGATCAAAACAATATATGATAGGCGACGGGCAGTTACCACAAATTTTTATTTTTATGTCGGCAAATGGCCGAGGTATTTTGAAATTGTGAATTGTAAAAAAAAATTTTGTTTTGTTGACGCAAACGCTGGTTAAATATGAAGACAATTTAAATTAATAAGCAAGACATTTTAAATATGCCCTTATCGGTCACAAATTGATTACTTTGCACAACAGAAAAATCATTTTTCGTTGTAAACGTCGGCTCTTTTAACAAGTGGCGTAATCGCGGCAGATGAATATGTATTTTTGATTTAACGATATACTTCATATGCATTTTCATTGTACTTTTCGGGATTTTATATCAGTTATTGAGATTTTTCTAACGGCGATAACGAGTTGGCAAGATTCCAAAAATACGTATTAAAATTAAATACACCGTTTATCTCATATTTTTATGTCCACCGATCGCCGTGGCATTTCAGAGAACTAATGTTTTAATTTTGACGTAAGAAGAAGCAACCGCGAGTTACGTTGGACACAATTAAACTAATATATAAACACATTTTAGAATTTTGTAATTGTCAGAGATTGAACATTTCACGCGACAAGAATAATCATTATACGCTGAAAAGACGTCCCTTTAACGAGCGCGTAATGCGAAGACTGTTACAGACCGCAATGGGAATTTATGATTATGACTTTCACAGATTAAAATTTAAATTCCATTTATTTTCTTTTGTTTTTTTGAAGATTTACGTATTCGAGTCGCCACCGACCCTAATAACCAGTATAATCAATCAAAGCTTTCTACATCTTTTTGCGACCCACCAGTGGGTCGCGACCCATACTTTGGGAACTGCTGGATTAGCATATATAACAGTAGTTCCTAACCTTTTATGGCTTGTGGCCCCCTGTTCGCCATTCCAAAAAACTATACGTGTTGTGATTGTATTATGTTTTTACGACCTTTTATGGAATGCAAAAACAAACTACAGACAAAAAACTCCCAAGCTTTTCAGTATACAATCAATGGAAACCTTGCGCTTGAGACTTTCTGACGAAGCTTCTTATATTAGGCACCGTCTTTGGTATAGCCTGACAAATGCCACTGTCAATATCAAGTCAGTTTCTAGATTTTGTTGCTTCCCCGACCTGTTGCTTTCTCTAATGATTGGACATTCCATTCAATATTGCATTGCGCATGAATTGAATGAAACTTGGTGAAAAAACAAAATCATTTTCCAATTTTTAACAGTAATTTTTGATTTCAGCACGGTATGGCTGTCCTATGACAAAGTACCGTAGATATATTATTTCAACACATATACCGGTAAGACAAAAATAAGAGTTTGAATATGAAAAAACAGCTGTTGAATATAATAAAACACGAATATGGATCAAGCACAGAACTTACTCACCTTTTTCTGTGCAAATTCGTGTTCATTGTGAATTGTAAAATTTATCTGAAAATATTATAATTTAATTTTTAATATTTGGAAAAAAGCCATCATTCAAGCCAAAGTTCATCACTCATAAATAGTCTGGCTAATCAATTTCTACAGCTTCTGACTTTGGGCTTGATTCACTATATTTCAAATTGTACTGATTTAAGGGGGTCCAAATTGGGCACATATTTAGTATACAATACGAGAGAATAAGAAAATGAAACCAATCAAACATGAAAACCATTGATAAATCCTTAATTAAACCATGAAAGTAGGAAATGCACATTTACCTAAAATTTCACAACTAACAAACAAAAATTGCTCATTCAGTCATCTTCATGCAATACAATTTTCCTTTTTTGTGGAATGAGGTCTTTAACTTCTTACAGATGCCTTGCAAAATGGAAGATATATAAGAAATAAGCGACACAGAATCTGGTTATTAATATTTCTGATACGAAATTGCTCTGCGGAGTGGCGCATCGCAATAGGAATACGACCTCAGATTACCCTGCCTGGGTTCGCAGGTTTGAATCCCATGCGGGGATAGTTATGTGCACGAGAATTGCTGGACTTCTTGCCGCCATAGGGTGGTTAGCGTCTTCCTCCACCAAGTCATGTGCCCAAAACAAATACCTGGCCAACTAATCCCATACCCTACTTCAGGGGTCGGCAACCTTTAGTCGCTCGCGGGCAAAAATAAGGGTTGTAAGTCATTGGCGGGCCGCACATATTTTTAAAAAGTTGAAAACCGAACAGATTATACTTTTTATAATAAAAATCAAGCAGTGATCATCTCTCGAATAGAATATAGATTTATTTCCTCATTGCATTGCATTTTCGGCGCCATTGAACTCTTTGTACTTAGCATCAACTTTTCTGCGTTTTGTTGTCATTTGTCTAATTATAATTAAACTATAGGCTCATTAAACGAGTAATTGTGAATTTTATACTTGTTAGATTATAATATAATTTAGTCTACACGCGTCTCACAGTGAATTATGTAACATGAAAAATATAATCGTCAAAACAGCTGTTTTGTTACTATAATTCAGTGAAGCGTCGCGGGTCGTAGGTTGCCGACCCCTGCCCTACTTGAACCAGTAACCGGACAAGAGGCCGTGGTTCGCCATATGATTGAGCTGCCTTAACAGCTTTTCTTTCCCCTGTGATAACTATTTAAATCCTTATGATATCCTAGAATGCGAATTGAGTAACAATTATTAACTGAACTTAGCCTATAAATTCATTCCTAATTTAAAAACTCTTTCCATTCACAATAAGAATGTACTAAAGCAGGTATGTGTAGATCACAAACAACAAACAAGTGCTTGTCAAACACTCAAAGAGTATGATATTAGCCGTTTGTTTTTCTATATACGCTTGGAAACCTGGCGATTGCAACGTCAGAATAATAACAATCATATACACAAAATTAGAAAATCCTCAATATTCACACCTGATATGTAAAATTAAATATGATGATGATGAAAACATTACCTGACACTCCTTTTTCTGTGCCATATTTATGATGAAGTTTGTTGTTGTGAGCTATAAAATAGTATTGAAAATAATATAATTTTGGGAAGACTAACTAAACTAAATGTACATCACTTATAAATAGTCTAGGTCTGGGTGGTCCAAATCCAGGCCCGCAGACCACATGTGGCCCGCAGCTTCATTATCTGTGGTCCGCATCGAATTCAGAGAGTAATCAAAAAAACGCATTTGGTGCTGTTTCGTCATAAAATTAACCAGAAAAATCTTTTGACATATTGTTACATCACTAATGTCACTGAATTGACGAGTGTTATGGCTAGCTATAGGAACTAGCGAAGTTGAATGATATTCTTGGCTAGTCTAAATTGTTAACTGAATTTCTATCTTTTTGGTTTGGAAAATATGATAACAATTTTGGCATTATTGAAAACCAAAAATTGAATGCGGAATCTATTAGCCTAGGTTGGCTATGCATGATAACTAAATATTAATGTTATGGCCTGACAATATAATTCATGCGGGTGTTTTTTGTAATCAGCCTAATCAGTATTACAAAAAAGCTGCCTATATGTCAGATAATTTAGTAATTACCCTCCTGTACCTCACATTTGGTAATATATCCATCTGCAGTTATTTTATAAACAATGTTGGCAACTTACATTTGCGGAAGCACTTTTTTCGTTATGAATAGTGTGAAATCTTACACTTAATGTAGATATATAAAGGGCGCAGGTTTTGTGGTTTTTGCAAATACTGATCAATGTTTTTTTTTTTGTATTGCACTGTTCACCTATTCTGGGCACTATTGTGGTTGTGGTCCGTGAACAGTACAAAAATAATTTTGTGGCGGAGCCGACAGCCTTGGACCCCCCTGGTCTAGGTTGAACACACATTACTCGTATCCAATAGCTTTTTTGTTCAAGATTCAACATAGTATTTCAAACTAGATGAAGGAAACATGGGTCTACTTCGTTTGCTCAAATCTTACAATAATAAAATGTTCATTTAACAGTATTCAACTATTCATATCCATTGAATTTTGATTTACTGAAAAATTATGATGACAAGATTGACAAGACAATGCTTAAAAAATGAAAACACTCACCATACTAAAACGCACCATTTCAATTTAGTGTGTTCATAATAAAAATATTTCCTATGAAAGATATTCACTTGTTTCATAAATATTTGTTTTATGAGAGGGCAGCACATCCTCACATATTCAACCACCCTGTAAACAAGTATGATAATAGATTAGAAACCATCTCATCATCAAAAGATCCCAAAAAACAAGAACAAGATTCAAAGACTTGAGACCTAAGTCTTGTAAAATAGACTGATGACCCAGGGATGGTTCATGGGTTGAGAAGTAGGTAACTACTAAAAACACATAACGATGAGAACAACATTTATGGGCGGGTCAAATACTTGATTGTATTACCTTTTTACAATTGTAAAGCTATAAAACAAAAGTAAATATTTGTCTCAGAATTTTGTACTATTTCAGATTTTTCCTCTAAGTAAACGCTAACATTATTAATATTTAAATTTTTTGCTAGATACCGTATTTCCCGGCGAATAAGTCTACCCGGTAAATAAGACGAGGCCTGTTTTTAAGCCTGAAAAAATGGGTTTTTGGATATAACCTGCCAATAAGTCGGGGTAATAAAATCGCATCAACATCGGAATCTCAAATTACCATGCAATGCCTCTTGAGCGGTCGCCACGTTTGCACATTGGTAAAATAGCCTATAATGACGTTTTCTCGTAGCATAATATTCAATCCATAATAACTAACTATGAGAATTCAAAGTGTCTTTAAATTTTAATCTAATTGTGTTCAACTCGCGATTGAGTCAACCATAAAAGAACATTACCTAATACATAATAAGGCAACACCAGAAAAATAAAAATTATCATACTCGCCTAATAAGATGACCCCCCCCAAAATCAGGGAAGCCGGGAAATACGGTAGTTATTTTTCAATTGCTAAGCTACCAACTGAAGATTACTAATTTTGAAGAGCCCTATATTTTAAATACTAAAATGTAACATAGTACTGATAATTTAGTTTCTGGCATTTAATTGTGAAAAGCTCAAAAATGAGTGCTGATAGGACATCTGAAAATGTTAATAAATGTCATAATTAGTCATGAGATTCCAAAATGGTCAGTGTCAGAAATAGACCAATATTTGTGAAAAAAGCATCTAACAATGATTACAACAGACCTATAAAAAATG